GATCAGTTTTGGGAGGAAAGGTATTCACCCAAAACTATTGCAATCATCCTAAAAAGAAAGACGGATTAAGGGTCGATCACACTCTCAATGGTTGTCTCTCAGAATATATAATGTTCAAGGCTTGGATTTAGCGGATTTGGATCGCAGTTTGCACCTCATCAAAACACATCGAAAAACAAAAGAGCAAAGCTTCCCTGGACTTTGCGCATGTGTGCTAATGCTTGCATAACCTACACGCGTGGAGTAGGATGTCGAAGCTAGCTCAGTGCGGTATTTAGCGCGGTAGCTCACAACGGGCTTCGGCTGGCTACTGCCGTAGCTAAACACGTTACAGAGTTGCTATGAAGTCAAGAATCATTTTCTCCATGGCGGTGAATAAGACACACTTTTGACAAAAAACTTTCTCATGAAGGAACTGAAGGAGAAGTCATGCTAATTGCCAAGCTAACTAAAAACTGAGACGGAAATCAAGTGCTTGTGTGATTCAGTCCACTTTTGCTAGAGGTCTGGTTGGAATCGCGTTAAAGCAGAACGATCCAAGCACATCACAATATCATCATTGATTCTGTTGTTGGCCATTGGAACTGGAAATAAACTTGTCCTATACAGAACATGGTGACCACAACCCTTTCGATGGTCCTAACGGGCTGCTGGCTCACGCTTACCCGCCGGGCCAAGGCATCGGAGGAGACACGCACTTCGATGAGGACGAGCACTGGAGCAAAGATTCATCAGGTCGTTGTCCGACTTAGAAGTTGGAACATTTCATGAAAGAAAAAGATGGCAAAAATATGAATGTGTTTTGTTTTTTTTTTTTCCGACATGCAGCTTACAATCTGTTCATCGTGGCAGCACATGAGTTGGGCCACGCCCTCGGCATGTCGCACTCCACAGACTCGGGCGCCCTCATGTACCCCATCTATTCGTACGCGACAGGGTACCCTCTTGCCGAGGATGATGTTAAAGGCATCCAGGCACTATATGGTAACGACTCCATCATCAGTCATTTGTTTCTTGCTTCCTCTTTTTTGAACCATTTGATTTCTTTCCGAAATGCAGGCCCCAACCCAGACCACAAGAAAATCAAGCCGAAGCCAGACGCCCCTCAAAAATGTGACCCCACTTTGAGCTTTGATGCTGCTACAGAACTCCGAGGAGAAACCATCATCTTCAAAGACAAGTGAGTCCATGCGCAAACAGACTGAATATTCTCAGGGCATTATTTTTATTATTATTATTATATATATATATTTTTTTTACGAAACCTAAATAGATCCACATTATATATAAACGTCATTAATTGCATTATCTCTCTCTCTCTCTCTCTCTCTCTCTCTCTCTCCTCACTTTT